AATCAATCAATTTTGTAGAATGGGGAGACGTGTTGATTAGGAAAAAATTTCCTCCAATTCAATGAAAAGAGTGCAGCTTGAAAGAAGTTTTTCGAGTGATGTGCGATTCTTTGAGTCAACGCTAACGCTAATAATTGCGATTCTATTCCACTTTTGAAAAATGGGCAGACATGTTTGCTGGCAAAAATAGATCTGTTGGTTTAAAAAAAAATAGAGACGGAAATAATTTTTTCTCGATTGCATTTTCTCAGTCCCACGATCCGGACAGTTCGATCAATAGCTGCCAGCCGCTTTTGCAGCATAGGCATGGAACGATATTGAAACGAACTCGAAACTCCATCTCATAACCAAAAAAACTATTCAACGATCTCGACCAATCTAATCATGTTCATTATCCCAATTTATCCCATTGCCAGCAAATCTATGTCATCGCATACTCTCTTCTTCAAATTGCTCATCTCTATTCATCAAGAGCAAAAAGAAAAGATACACGCTGGAAGCTGCTGTGCATGCAACGAAACCGTGCATGTTTATTAGCGTGGATGAAAGCTCATTTCGATGATATCTTTGGCCAATTCCCTTGTGACCAGCTTCTCGTTTCGCGAAAAATGCAATCAAGCATTGGCAAAATTGTTGAGTTGCGTTTTCGGTTTTGAGCTTTTCAATGCAAAACTCAGAGGATGGCATCATTCATTCAACAATTCTTTGGTTAAATGCAATAAATACATTGTGAATATAGAACAGATGCAATAGATCTGTCATCTTCAAAAACAATAATCGAAATAACTTTCACCCCTTAGAAGCTTTTGCAAAAAAATCCGCTATCCTCGCAGGATAATCTATATAATTTAAAGCTGAGCTGTTATTTTTCTCCTATCAGTTCCTCGCCTACCATTTTTTNCCAATGTTTATCCAATGCAGCAAACAATCCCAAATCCCATCTCACAGCAGGTTTCTTCAATCATTGCGCATCGATCTGCATAATTCGCATATCTACTACCCACATCTCTGAACGTGTCCTTCGGGAATTCTGAGTACGAATGGTATCTATCCAATTGATGACAAATATGTCAAATGAATGTGCTTTGAAGGTTGTGTGTTCGATTATCTGTGCACTCTTTGGTAAATTTCCCTCAAAACTGAACATACGCGAGCTTGAATGAATGATGTAAACACGCATAGTTCATTTGAACAAGCCTTATGTTGAATTGCAATTATGTTAATCGTTCACATTCGCTGAATGCTTCTCAAATAATGTCACATCATCTTGAATTGTTTTGGACAACTGCAGTTCAGCCGTTTCGGACAAATCGCCTAAAACTCCATTATTCTCAAGTAATCGCTATTTGCTTCACTCAATACAAAGAATCCAAACAATCGTCGAGTCATAAGCGTGCTCCAGCTGCGAAGCCAATTTGCCCACTTCTCCTTCTTAAGCAGAAGTTGATTCTGTGAATAGAGAATTTGAACCTACGATAAGTCCTATTATTACAGGAACAGCAATGAGGTGCAATACCCGAACTCATCTCTCTTTTTCAAGCAGTCAACTCCCCTCCAACAACCAACACTTCATTTGATGCTCGCTAAGAGTTTGAAAGTATATTCGACCAATCCAAAAACTGTAGTTGAGTTCTCACTAGCCAACTATGTGCAGTCAAAGCATGTCAACCTAATTTCAAATGATACACTTTATTACGAATCATTTTAATGAAGTGTAAAATGATAACATTATATCACGGAAATCGAACATAAAATCAGTAACTTTCATTACATGTATTATACTTAGCATATTACTCAAGTACAATTCAGCGATTCCTAACTGCTCCCTAAAAATTCCTACCACAAACTTCATTCAAAAGCACCTTCCTCGAACCCTCTCGAATAAAACAAAGAAACTTCACATTCTACAGCGGACATCACGTACGAAGCGATATGCTAACAAGACTTCATATAACAGCTTATTCGAATGCAACAATAAACAGCTAACAAGTGAAAAACAATACATCGAAATGCACAGAAATCAAATGAAATATGAAATTGAAGTGCGAAGTAGATTAAACAAATGCAAATTACAACGAATAAAATAGGTAATAATCACGATGAAAACAAGAGAGCTGATTAGGACAAGCACACAGCCATTGCCGAAATAAATAAACAACCACCTAACAACACAATCAAACAAACACACAATAAATCAATTTCATGCATGTTCTCACCATCAACTGAACACTCGATCAATGCAAAACAACACTATTCTCTCACAAGACAACTTCTGATCACTATGATCAATTCTTTGGTATCATAAAAGTGTTCGAAATCGATCTCTCGCCAACTGTAATTTTTGATATACATCTTTCAGAGAACGAATCAGTTGCTGCATCAAATTTGCTGACATGCAACTGCAGAATATGAAATCGGCTGATCTCTATATCCTTATCACTAATTATTATACGTACATCACTAGATGTTAAAATCTAGCTATGAGGAGTTACAGAGACGAGTTAGTTCTGAGTTTTTGCACTCATAAATCGACAACAACAACAATTTAGAATCAAAATTCAAATTCACTACTACAAAAACAGCCAAAATGAAAAATCGAAATCATAACAGAACTATTCACTGAAACAACAATTGAATGGCATGAACACTCAATCAACGAATCGCAACTATCGACAATTCAAAAATTGAATGTTCCCTTCAAATGCAGTCGCGAACACAATCGAAGCATAATAAAATCAACGTAAAATAAACAGCTAAGTGAAGAAAAATACATCGGAGTGCATAAAAATCAAATAAAATCAACGATATACTTAATTCTGAACAAATAACAAATGAATGAACAAAATCTATTACGAACAAATCGCTGAACGAATAAATCGATAATCAAAAGCAAAAACAAAGCAAACAAAAAATGAAACAATGACATTAATTAATAACAACCGATTGAAAATCATCGAATCTTATATCATTTGACACGAATAAATCAACATTTGGGAATAGTTTGCACATTGACGCTTCACAAGGACATTCTTTCAAACACATTCATCTTCATGAGTCATGGCGATGAAACAAAAAACGGCAAACGACAATCAGGTTAACGACTGATAGAGACAACGCAGAGTGTATCCTTTACTACAGCATGGCAAGCATACAAACAAGCATAATTGATTTTATTACATGAATCCAACTAGAATCAACTGGGCACTATCTACCCTCACGATCCATACCAAATTCACCTTCGGGCAACACGTAAGTGATATCGTCCCATGGATGTCGATAGAGACCTTGTTTAAGACGGCGTTGGTCTAAGTAGTGACCTGAAATTTGAGAATTCCTTTTAAAAACCATCACTGACTGTTTAAAAAATAATTTTAAAAATCGAATGACGATATCAGAGAAAAACGAAAAATAGTTCATTCCATAAGAACCTCTGAGTTTTATCAAATCATACTGATATCCAAATACCTGAAGTGGTTACATACGAACAGAATAATAGAACAAACTGAACACTACAACTCAATAATGAAAGAACCAACAATACACTTACCAATGAAACCAACACTTCGTCCCAATACGAAGAGTCCATTCAATGCGCCGATTTCAATTGTCTCCTGTGCCTCTGCCGGCGTAAACATACCAGAATGTCGTAATATGTCCACAAATATCACACCAATCGCACCGTCAACGTTCAATATCAGATTTGGCTTCTAAAGAATCATTTCTCTCGTAATCAGTAACCCAGTAAAATCAACTATGAAGCAATCAAATCACATTACCAATTGTTTGTTAATGATTAATCTTAATCAATTCCACAGTTTCCATTTTTTAATTGAAATAATGAAAGTATCAATTTCAGATATGAAGATAAGAATGCCAGTACAAACCTTAGCAGTGGTGATCTTTTCGACTTGAAGTGCAAAATCCAAAAGTGGTGTCTCTTGCTTGAACTTAGTTCGATCCAAAGCGAAGTTTTTCAGAATCTCTACACGTTTATCTGGGTTATTGATCTGCAAAATCAACGCAATCAATCAATCCGTCAACAACTAATGGGACCATTAACAATTGCAAAAGCTCCCAAATTCGAATTTCAAGTCTTCGAAGAATGTTTCACAATACTGGAATACTGGAATCGGCCAGGCTATCGAACGTTGTTGACGTTGCTGGCCACAATGCGTTTCCAATCAGTCCTCGACCTTGCTTTCCTTTGCCAGGTCTTACCAATCGCCTTGTCGATCTCGTCTCGCCACCTT